GATAATGTAAATTCAGCTCAGTCAAAACTGAAAATTGAAACCCAGATTGTGGGATAGGTTGAGATCTTCAAGGAAAAACATTGAAGGCATTAAAACACACAGGACAGTTACCGAAACAAAATGAACCATGTTGTTGTGATATTTATTCATTATTTTGTTTAATTGTTTTGGAATTTAAAAGAATTCAGTTGGTATAACAATGTTGTTTAACAACAAAAATTCAAAGAGGGTTTTGTGCAGTGGAAAGTTGATGGATATATGACAATCTCAGAGTGCTATGCTCTTGAAATTGTGTGTTTCAATGTGTCATCTTTAACATTGAAAATAACCACTATGGTAAAATTTACAGGAGTCATAGATACTGCAACCTCCTGTAACGGTTAAGAAATGCATACCTATCAACTGAATTTAACGCAGTATATAGTAAAAATAATACCCTGAAATTTACAGTGTACATGGAATAATGGACCATATTGTGAAATGTATTCTCAAAATATATGTTCGAAAATGTGGAATTTGAATTTTGCAGTCACTGTAGATCACTTTCCATAATATTTTGTCTTGGATAGCATAAGCACATCAGTTTGTCTGCTTTGTCAACATGAGCATCGCTGCTAGAGGACTGTTAGTATCATAAAAGTTATCCTTCAAATGTAATGCATGCTATTTTCTATGTAACATTTTAAAAATATTTTAATAGAGAGAACAAATATAGAAGGTGTGTGTGTTGACTTAAGGTGTCACACCTTTTCAAAGACATTGTCAGAGGCTGGCAATGAGCCTCTCAGTGACCTAGCTCAGCAATTACAGCTCATAGTCTTAAAGGAACACTCTAAGTTATACACAGCTTTATACATTACATGATATAATGCTCCTGACCTTTTAGAAATAACATCTTGGTATGATCGCTCATATCAATTAAATCTCAGTACTGGCAACAAAGCTATGGAAGAAACAAAATTACTGATTCTTGCTACAGAGCCAGCCTCAAAGCACAAATTCATTGTTTAAAACTAACAACATCAAGCACTAATGAACAGCTTGAAGTGTTGTGAGAAATACTGAACAGTATAAAGAAACAATGCTGAATTAATTATGTTAAATGGGTAGAGACCAAAGCTGATAGCCAGCTATTACCAAAACAAACCTATATATCTTGAGACATACTTCATGTTGTAAAGAGGCTTTACTCAAAACCTTTAAGATAAGAGCAATTTGTTTGGTTATTTTATTACTTGCAGTAAAGTCGTTATACTGAACTTAGTTTTAGTTACTGATTCAGGCAGAGTACACAAGTACTAAAACTAGGATGGTCATTGAAAGATTTAAACAAACTATATGGTCAATAATATGGGAAGATGCACCTGTATGTATGATGGGGGGACATTTAAAGTAAAGCACTAAAGGAAAGAAAAGAAATCATAAGATCCACTGCCTGAGAATAAGTCACCCTAACAGGCAGTGTGAGGTCTGTTATGTCACACAAATCACTCTATAAGGAAGGATGACTAAAGCTCATTACCTGCCAAAGCCATGGAATAAGTTTACAAATGAAAATTATGCAAAAATGCTGTTCTACATAAGAGAACAAATATGAACTAAAATTGTCCCAATACAGTATGCTTTTAGTGTAAATAATTATTTTTAAGCCTTTAAGTAAGAAGTTATGTGAAGCAATTCTCCTTGCTAATGTTTATTACTTCTCATTTTGCAATGATTAAAACTACCCTGAAAACTGTGATTTGATGCTAAATTAAATGGGGAATTCTGAGTTGATGAAACAGCATTTCATTCATTTATCTAGGAATGTTATTGTAATGATTAGATTTAAAACCAATGCAAATCATTCTACAGCCAACCATCAAAAGCTGAACCTTTAAATTTGCCTCGTTGTTAGATCTACATACATTCAATTTTACATATATTAAAAGCTTTGATTTTACTAAAAAAAATGCTGTATATGTAATCTTACTTTATCAAATTACTTTAATCTCCCCTAGTAAATCCATTTGTTTGCAATTTTTTGTTATCACTTTTTTATTTAAAATTATTTCAAATGGCATAAATGTAACTTTAGAATTAAACTAAGAAAAATAATTTGTTTTAGATATTCATCTAGCCACATTAAATTGTTCCTAAAGTGTTAAGTCAGCTTCTTGATTGTTTTATTTGTATTATCAGTTCTATCATAAAATGACCTACATTACATGAAGCAGCATTCAATTATCTAACATCAATAAGCCATTTGGCTTTGTTTAAGATCAAAAGATTAGAAGTTTATTAAGTGGTCACTTACTATTGGTTTCATTTTAGGTCATACCCAATACATTTATACTGACTGTTTAAACTGCAAGTATTACATTTTAAAGCTCTAATTCATAGAATTGCTTTTAAATGCTTGCAGAAAATAATGTAAAACAGAAATGTTAGTCTAGGGACTAAGGGACCAGTAACTCAGTTCTCTTCATATTCCTGACGAATGTCCCGTTTATCTTTCCAAGGAATATATTCTTTTTATTCAATGATATACTTATAATTTCAAGCACAATTTTACTAGATTTCAATCAGTTCTTAAGCCCTTAAGGTGAGCAAATGCCAGCTTTAATTATATATTACATTGAATTTAACTTAATTGAGAAATAATGTCATACTATGAAGCAGCATTAGGAACCTTTTCAGATTGTACAGTTACACAGAATATTAATGACTAAATAAAGGCTTTCTGCTACTTCTTTTCGGAATAAAATTATCTTATTAAAATCTTACATGTTATGCTGCAGCTGGAATTGCATTGAAAATATATTTTGAGCATAAACGTATCAGCATGTTACATAGCTATTTGTTTCAATAAACTATACGTTAAAATTCCTCAACTAAGTATTAAAGTTTGGCTATTATTTTAGGTATTTTCACTAACTGGCGTTATTTTGTGTTAATTTACCTGTAAGTAGTATAACAAATTATGAATCTTAAAGCTGTACTGGACAAACATTTCGATATTTAGAACAGCTGCTCACTAATACACATTGGAAATTTTTGATATTTCTGTATGTTCAAAAATTATTTGAAATCAGTTTTAGTAAAGGAAAGAAGAAGTGGAACATTAATATCAGTACTGCTTCTTGTTAGAGGATTGCTCCCAGTTTATGATTTTATTTTTATTCCTCCAAAAGCATTATGTCCATTTTTCTGCATGTGACAGAATTCCCCTACTGTACAATCAGTCAGAGTCCTGATATGGATATGCTTAACGCTCTACTTATATAAATTGGATAACTACCTGCAGTAATCACCACCATCCACCTAGTATCAGAAGTGAAAGGCTTTGTATAGATCCCCTTGGCTCAGAGCTTGTTGAATCTTTCACCATGTTAGCTCTTGTGTTAGTTTTGTGAACATTTTAGGGCACTTTTAGTTGTTTAAAAATTGACCTCACATGCTTAACTTGCACTTAAGTTTGCTACTGATGCATCACTGGTATTTTTGCCATATAAAGTATACAATTAAAATTTTATTCTTTGCTTTTTGTCTCACATATGATAATAGTTATTTAATTCTAAAAGCTCAAAAATCGGTTTTAAAAGAAGACAAATTTTGGACCAAATATCAAACTGTGGAATACACAGGAAACTTCATGAGGCAGTCAGTACTGTTTCTGTACAGAACAAACAGGTTTGTTCTGTTGATAACCTTGGGCTAAAACAACAAAGAACAAAACCAGGTAAACTGTTTCAGGTTAGATCCTCATTCTGTGCCCCTTTATTTGATCTCAGCCAGGGAAGTAGGGCAGATCTTACAGCATTCCTGAGTTGAAGGGTTGGTGGGCAGAATCATCCACGAATCTCCTGTAATATCAATTTTGTTAACCTGCTGGGAAGTGCCCATCTGATTATGAGCTCAGCTAAGATGCTATTCCATTAATGCTTGAGCAGTACACCCTTCCAATTCCTGGACCTTGGTTCTTCATTATATAGTGTGTCCATTGAGTTAAAATTGTGCAAGGAGTTAAGCTTTTTGCAAAAGGAGAATGGTGTGCAAGAGATAAGAAAATAAAATGAGACAAAATAAATAAAGAACTTGCATTCACATAAAGCCTTCTGTGAACCAGGACCATTCTGAAACTTTTGACAGCCAGTGTTATTGTGGTCATTACATAATGTAGAGAAATGTTCCAACAAGTTTTCACATTGCAAGTTCCCAAAAATAAACTAGATCCAAGCATTTGTTCCCACCGACATTTGTAATTTTTGCTCTATTACTTTGGTAACAATGAATTTGGAAAAAAGGATTAGCTTTAAGGGAAATCACAATGAGTGTGTAAAATGTAAGGCGCAATACCAAATGTTCTCACAGTAAGAATGAAAAGAGGGACTTGGTCTTTATCTGGTGCATTTGTTATTTAAGTTGCTGGAAAGTAATGTTTATGCAGTGGGTCAAAATTGTATTCCTTATGATGACAATAAATTGATGGGCTCACATATTCATGGGTCAAAGACTATGTCAGTAAGATATAATTTTAGTTTTGTAAAACTGAGGAGGTTTTGGGTGAATATCATTCCGCAATGGTCTGTCTGACAACTGAGCAGATATAGAAAGTGACTAAAAGGAATGTAAAGTGTTAAACCTGTTATATTTTAATTTACTGAAGTGTCATCTCACATGGTGCCTTGGAAACTGTGCAGAATGTCTTCATCAGAATTGTTTTTACTTAAGACTTCGTTATATTTTGGTGACTGAGGAAATTTTGTTTACCGCATTACAGTTTTAAAATAATGATTTAAGAAGAAGGGAGAGGGCCGAGATTTTAATTGTATTTACAATGGATTGTTATATTGATTATTACAAAACAACAGCCACAACATAACCAGGAATATGTTACCATCTCTCGTCTGGAAGGTAAATGAAGCTATAGGAGTTCTTGAACAGTTTGCTCACTTCGCAGCAATTTGCAGTTAATTTTGTGAAAAATATGTTTTCTGTCTCTCTCTTTTTGAATATAGACCTGGAGAACCACCTCTAGAACAAGGCTGGATCCCATATTTTGGCAAGGCGTTTGAGTTCCATCGAGACTCTTTACAATTTCTTCGCTCTCATCAGCAAAAATGGGGTGACGTCTTTACAGTTTACATTGCGGGTGAGTACTCATATAAACTGCAGCCTGGGCTACTTTTGACATTTTATGCTGTGAATCCTTTTCATTTTTGTGATACAGCCACATGATCTGGAAAATTTCTCACAACTGTTGTATTTAAGACAATGGCAGTGAAGTTTCCTGAAGAAAATTGCAGTTGCACTGTGCTTCCATGCAAAAATTGACGCACAGTTGAAAATTAGATTTGGCAATAAAGCTCAGGGTGTCTTCCAGTCCTTGCCGGGACCCTTCGGAACGTGGAAAGCTTTGCTAATCAGTCACAAATCTTTTGTGAATTTTTCACCTTAGAAAGAGCTTGTATTTTATTTTAATGTATAATTAATGCTTTACAAAACCGGTTCACATGGAAAACACAAAACAATGCTCACAATTGCTGGCACAGCTGAGACATGAAACGTGATTCCACTGATTGCAGTTTCCGACATGATGAGCAAATGATTGTCGTGCTGAAAAGTCGCAAGGGACATGAATGTCATCTTAATAAAGAAATTAAAAAGCACATCTTTCTGCAAGAAACAATGTAAATTTCTGACCTGTCGCAGAAAATAGTTCTCTAATTGGTGTTGTGTGGTGGTGCAGCAGAATCGCTTTCCCTAAACGTCATGCCGGAGTAGCAATACTGTACATCATTGTCAACAGTTCAGCAAAATCTTCCTAATAAGAGCATGGTTACATAAATGCTGTGTTTCACAAAAATAACCTACCTTGTTGAATGGATCCATCAGAAAGGCTTTCTCTCCCCCACCTTATTTTGTTCAACTAGAAATGAAGCACAATGCCAGAAAAGATAAAGTATTTTCAGCTGATGCACACTGTGCATTAACAAATTTATTAAGACAGCAATCAGATTATTTTTGAAGAAATTTTAGATTTTATTATTTTAAGTATTCACATACATTCGCATACATACATTTTTTTAAAAACTGCAGCAAATAATGTGTGCATTCTCATTTTGACTTAAGTTACCAATACTGGTTTAAATTCTCCATTTTTATGTTGGAAACCACAATTTTTGTACTGTTTGTTTAAACAAAATGGGGAGAAAGTTTTGTGATTTGTGAACCCCAGGAAAGAAATCTACTTTTTGCAAATTCAGTTTGGCAAAGGGTTCTAGAAGTAGCAGGCATTTTAATTGGGTCTAGAAACAAAAGCAGAAATTGCTGGAAAAGCTCTGAGGAATGGTCACTCGACCTGAAATGTTAACTCTGATTTCCTTCCATAGATGCTGCCAGACCTGCTGAGCTTTTCCGCAATTTCTGTTTTTGTTTCTGATTTACAGCATCCACAGTTCTTTCAGTTTTTATTTAGTGTTTAACTCACTGCCACATCTCTTCTAGGCATGCCTAACTTGAAGAAGTTTTGTTTCTGTCTCCGGAGTTCTGAGGAAGGGTTAGTCGCCTTGAAACGTTGACTGATTTCTCTCCACAGATGGTGCCAGACTTGTTGAGTTTTTCAAGCAATTTCTGCTTTTGTTTCTGATTTACAGCATCCACAGTTCTTTCAGTTTTGTTTAATTGGGTGCAGGACAGGTTTTCTTACACAACTACATTCCTTTGTTTTGGGGAGGCATTCAAGAAATTCTGCTCCCTGCTGAAACTTACAATGTCTGGGTACCTTTTCAGTGCCTTTTACTAAAAAGGCACCCAGACAGCAGTTCATTCTGTGCAAATCAGAGGCCATCAGTCAGTGTGTGTTCATCACCTCCATCCAGCCACCCCTGTTGATTTCTGAGATTAGGCATTGTCCTTCAGTGATGCCTCCCCAGATGTTGTCCTGAACACTGCCCAGGACAGAGAGATCAATTTCTGTTCCCGAGTGGTGACAAAAGGTGGCCATCCCAATTAACAAAAGCAACATGGCTAGACATGGATGCAGCGGTCAGAGGCTTCCATGCCTCAGGAAACCCTGACTCCTTTGCCATAACAGGAGGAATGCCATCAGGGTATATACTGGATTGCTTTACCATAGTTCTGACTGTGGCACACTCTTCCTAGACTGCTCCACTGCGATGCTGACTACAAGACACTCTTCCCCTTGACACCTCTACATATCTGCAGTAGATTGATGCCTCTTGCAAATGGAGGTTTGAATCATTTGACTGCAGTTCCTAAGTAATCCTATGTAACTCCATACTGATATTCTGCAGGAAACTCAGCAGGAGTCTGTTGGTCTAAAGGAAACAAATTACCTGGCAATTCATGTCAAACAAAGTTTCTTTATAGGTTACTGTTACAAATTAAACTTTCCCTTAAGGGAAGGAATACCTTTGTACCATCACTGGCTCGTACGTCTGAGTGTCAACATATGTTACTACAAAATTATTCTGCCTGCAATCTAGCCGCTGTTGGGCTCTCTCAGTCTTGTTTGCTATGTTTCGTTAATGCTGTGATATCTCCTCTGCCACCATCAGTGTCACCCCTCTCTGTCAGACTCCCCTTCTTCCTGAGCTGAGGAGGCTGATAACTGGTGTATCTCTTCCACTTCAAGGTTCTCACCCTGTCATAGAGCTGGACCATACATCAATAACTGGACAGCACCTGTACAAGGAGTATAGCAGTGCATCTTCTGAGAGGTGCATGCAATGGAAATGCATCTTCAGAAAACATAGAACATAGAACATTACAGCGCAGTACAGGCCCTTAGGCCCTCGATGTTGCGCCGACCTGTGAAACCAATCTGAAGCCCATCTAACCTAAACTATTCCATTATCATCCATATGTTTATCCAATGACCATTTAAATGCCCTTAAAGTTGGCGAGTCTACTATTTTTGCAGGCAGGGCATTCCACGCCCTTACTACTCTCTGAGTAAAGAACCTACCTCTGACATCTGTCCTATATCTATCACCCCTCAATTTAAAGCTATGTCCCCTCGTGCTAGCCATCACCATCCGAGGAAAAAGGCTCCCACTGTCCACCCTATCTAATCCTCTGATCATCTTGTATGTCTCTATCAAGTCACCTCTTAACCTTCTTCTCTCTAACGAAAACAACCCCAAGACTCTCAGCCTTTCCTCATAAGACCTTCTCTCCATACCAGGCAACATCCTGGTAAATCTCCTCTGCACCCTTTCCAATGCTTCCACATCCTTCCTATAATGCGGTGACCAGAACTGTACGCAATACTCCAAGTGCGGCCGCACCAGAGTTTTGTACAGCTGCAACATGACCTCATGGCTCCGAAACGCAATCCCTCTACCAATAAAACCTAACATACTGTACGCCTTCTTAACAGTGCTATCAACCTGGGTGGCAATTGTCTGTCCAAAGATGGCTGTAGTCAATAAATGTGCAGCATGGAACAAGCAGTCCCTGAGATTGTAAATAGTTTCCATCCCTGAGTCCATTCACAAGTCGATTTGTACGCAAGTCAGAACACAATATAAAAGCAGCAATCCATAAGCACAGGAAATGTTTACTGTTGTGTCTTTAAAGTTGAACCCTGTATAGGATTGCAAACATGAGTTATGGGTGTTTGTAAATCAGGGAGCCCATGTAGTGGTGTTTGACATCAGTGTGGAGGTTCCTGAACCCCTGCAACTTCCCCTCCAAGCCACTCACCATCCTGACTTGGAAATATATCATTGAGCCTTCTGTGACACTGGGCCAAAATCCTGGAATTCCCTCCCTAATGGCATTGTGGGTCTGACTGGTGCATAGATAAGGTGAATGACAAGAGTCTTTTTCTCAGAGTGGGGGAGTTCAAAACTAGGGGGCATATTTTCAAGGTGAGAGGAGAAAGATTTAAAAAGACATGAGAGGCATCTTTTTTACACAGAGTGGTTCATGTGTGGAATGAACTTCCAGAGGAAGTGGTGGATGCAGGTACAGTTACAGTGGTTAAAAGACATTTGGATAAGTTCATGAATAGGAAATGTTTGGAGAGATATGGACCAAGGGCAGGCAGGTGGGACTAGTTTAATTTGAGAGCATGGTTAGCATGGACTGGTTCGACCGAAGGGTCCGTCTCCGTGCTGTTTGACACAATGACTCAATAACTCTGAGGAAAATCACCATCTTCTCAAGGGCTATTAGGGCTGGGCAAGAAATGCTGGCCCAGCCAGCAATGCCCACATCCCATGAGTGAAGTAAAAACAAACAAAATGAACTTAGAACAAATGAAACAAACAACTGACCTGGAGCTGGTTGTAAGCTCTTTCTCCCTTGATCTAATTCAAACATAAGTGCTGATGCTTTCGCTAATCATGCTGATGAGCTAATATTATCCAATATAGATCAGATAGAAAAAAAATCCTAGTTTATAAGCCACATATGAACTCATCGGATAAGTTGGGGCAAACACATGACACAGCCTCCTAATGTAACTAGCAAAGCCTCGGATCATTTTGATGGTTGTTAAAATTTGAAGGGTGAGATATGTTTTTGCAGCATGTTTGATAAGATTTCGAAAGGTGAGAGAAGGAGGCAGGAAGGCTGGGAATGGGGATGGTGAATGGGGTGCATGGTGAAATTGGCAGCTCGAGAAGCAATGTAGTCAATCAACCTACACGCGGTTTGCATTGTTTTCAACTGATAGAATTGAGAGTTATGTGAAAGAAATGATTTTCCTTAACGCAGTGTTTTTCTGTCTGACTTTTTTTTATAGGCAAGTACCTGACTTTTATTTTAAATCCGTTCCTTTATCAATTTGTGGTTCAGTGCAACAAGCAATTAGACTTTCAAGGATTTTCATTGATAACATCAGCCAAGGTTTTTGGCCACCCTTATCTAAATGATCCCAAAATACCAGTATCCATTGAAGAAATTCATAAGTACTACTCCTACCTAATGGGTGAGGAGCTAAATATTTTGAATGGAAGTTCTATGAAGAATCTTCAGAGTGTTATGAAACAAGAGCAATTGGGGCCAGAGTGGAGAACAGAGAACATGTATGATTTCTGTTGCCGCATCATAATTGAAACCACTTATTTAACTCTGTATGGAAAGGCTCCCAAGGATGAGCAAGAAGAAATCACTGAATTAAAAAAGAAATTTATTAAATTTGACAAAATGTTTCCCTATCTGGTTGCAAGGATCCCCATTGAACTTCTAGGCAACACCAAAGTGATTCGCAAAGAACTGACCAGTTACTTCACAGGTAGAAGATTGAATCAACGGCTAAATATAGCAAATGTGATCAAAAAGAGGAAGAACTTTCTTGAGGCGTATTCATATCTTCAAGATCATCAAAGGGCAGGTAAGCAAAAAAGAATGTACACAACAACAATCTTTCACCATCTATTAAAAATTACAAATGAAACAAAATCTCAAACTGTTGGCCCATCGAGGCTATTTTAAGGAACTTGAGGTCATGCAACAAGACTGTTTGATCAGTTCTTATTTTGCTGGGATCGATGTCATAGTGAGCTTGAATATTTGCAGCACCAAGGCTTGACTTTGAAACGTAGACTAATGGAAAGAAAGTCACCTCTGTAATAAATGCTGCTTCTGATTAAAATAAATCTTCATGGATTGAATAATACACCACAACATGTTCTATAATTCATTAGTCATTAGTTATTTCTCTCAGAGAAGGTGGTAACAAACAGTTAAAAATGGAAATTCATGCAGTTGAGATTCCTCCTTGAGAATAAAAGTGAGTTCACACAGCAGGACGCTGATGTCAGATATGAGTTTTATTAAAAAAAATTTCCACAGTTAAAATGTTCAGTTCCCCAATACTGAAATCACTCACTATGGTTAGCATTAATTTCATGTCGCATTTTATTTGAACGTAAAGTCCCCATAAAGGTGAGACCTGATTTTAATCCAGCACATAGGGTGCAGGCAGCTGGCTAATATTGCCTCCAGAGGATACACCGCTTTGCTGATGGATTTGTATCCACTGCACTTTTAACTGGGATCGCAGAGCATAGTGATCATTCACCATGAGCAAACTGTGGGACTAACTAGCATGGGGATTGGAGGCTTGTACACAACTGAAACTATCAGTGAAACCTGGCTTGATGATGTAGTGTAGCCAGAAGAGTTTAAGGTAAGTGCATTGAATCCCTACAATGCAGAAAGAAGCCATTCAGCCCATCGAGTCTGCATCGACCCTCCAAAGAGCATCTCACCCTAGTAACCCACATTTCCCATGGCTAACCCACCCAGTCTGCACATCCATGCACATTAAAAGGCAATTTAGCATGGCCAATCCACCTAACCTGCACATCTTTGGACTGCGGAAGGAAACCGGAGCACCCAGAGGAAACCCATGCAGACACAGGGAGAATGTGCAAACTCCACATAGACAGTCATCCGAGGCTGGAATTGAACCCAGGTCCCAGGCACTGTGAGGCAGCAGTGCTAACTACTGAGCCACCTTGCTGACCTTGATTGATTTAGTTTACATTTTGGGAAGGATTCTTGAGAATCAGTAGTAATGGGAATGAAGCTCTGTTCTCATTAAGGACTCTATATGCTCCCTGTGTTGTGAATTTACTTCTGTCTCCAGCGTACATTAACTCTGCAAACTGCTGATGGGAAGATTGTTGGAAATGAGTTTGTGTTTGAATGGTTTTGTTTTCTTTTTGGTGGAAGTTTTGAAGAAGAACTTTCAGTAAAATCTTTGATAAGGTTCCACATGGTCGGCTGCTCTGGAAGATTAGATCGCATGGGATCCAGGGAGAGCTGGAAAATTGGATAGACACAATTAACTTGATGGTAGGAAGCAGAGAATAATAGTGGAAGGATGCTTATTGGGCCGGGGAGGCCTGTGGCTAGTGGTGTGCCTCAGGGGTCGGTGCTGGGCCCATTGCTATTTATTATCTGTATCAATGATTTGGATGAAAATACACAAGGCATGATTAGTAAGTTTGTGGATGACACTAAAATAGATGATATCGTGGACAGTGAGGAAGGTTATCAGCAGGATCTTGACCAGCTGGGGAAGTCGGCTGAGAAATGGCAATTGGAGTTTAATATAGATAAGTATGAGGTGTTGCATTTTGGAAAGTCAAATCAAGGTGGGAGTTTCATGGTGAATGGTAGGGTCTTAAGGAGCATAGTGAAGCAGAGGGACCTTGGAGTTCAGGTGCACAGTAGACAGGGCAGTGAAGAAGGCTTTTGGCACACTGGCCTTCATCAGTCAGGGCATTGAGTATGGAAGTTGGGAAGTTATGTTGCAGTTGTACAGAACTTTGGTGTGACTGCAGTTGGAATATTGTGTTCAGTTTTGGTCACCTTGCTATGGGAAGGATGTTATTAAACTGGAAAGAGTGCAGAAGGAATTTACAAGGATGTTGCCAGGGCTCAAGGGACTGAGTTATAGGGAGAGGTTGGACAAGCTAGGACTTTTTTCTTTAGAGCATAGGAGACTGAGGGGGATCTTATAGAAGTGTATAAGATCATGAGAGGCATGGATAGGGTGAATGCACTCAGACTTTTTCCCAGGGTTGGGGAATCGAGGCCGAGAGGCCATCAGTTTAAGGTAAAAGGGGAAAGAATACATGGGAACTTGAGGGGCAACTTTTTTACACAGAGGGTGGTATGCATATACAATGAGCTGCCAGTGGAAATGGTTGAGTGGGTACATTAACAACATTTGAAAGATATTAGGAAGAATACATAGATAGGAAAGGTTGAGAAGGATATGGGCCAAGTGCAGGGAAATGGGGTTAACGTTGATGGACATTTTTGTCAGCATGGACCAGTTTGGGCCAAAGAACCTGTCTCCATGCTGTAGGACTCTATGACTCTATGAAATTATGTTCTCAACCCTATGTGCTATTCTGAGCACATAGAATGCATGAAAACCAAAGACTGGTTACAGGAAAGGAGGCTTCAGTCCATTATGTCACCCTGACCTACTGAAGGAGCAGTTTTCCTAGTTTTGTCCCACTGCCTATTTGCCATAACCCTGCTTTTTTTTTTCATTTTTGGATAATTTGCAAGCCCTTTTAAAAAGCCTCGTTTGACCAGCCTCAACAGACTCTCAGGTAGTGCATTCCAGATGATAACTACTTTTGAAACAGTTTCTTCCGACCTACTCTGTCTAGATCCCTGTTGAATTTTGATACTCATAGAGTCATACAGCATGGAAACAGACCTTTCGGCCCAAGTTGTCCATGCCGACCCGGTTTCCCAAACTGAACTAATCCCATTTGGCCCGTATCCCTCTAAACCTTTCCTCTCCATACCAGTCCAAATGCCTTTTAAATGTTGTAATTGTACCTGCATCTACCACTTGGTTTGGCAGCTCGTTCTATACATGCATCATCCTCTGTATGAAAAAGTTGCCCCTCAGGTCCCTTTTAATTCTTTTTCCCCTCTCACCTTAAACCATGCCCTCTAGTTTTGGACTCCCATACCCTGGGAAAAAAAGACCTTGTTTATTAACCCTTATAAACCTCCAAATGGTCACCCCTCAGCCTCCAATACTCAATGGAAAAATGATCCAGCCTATCCGGCCTATAGCTCAAACCCTCCAGTCTCGATAACGTCCTTGTACATCTCTTTTTGCACTCTATGGAATAATCTCTCAACCTATTCTTCTCAAAGTAAAAGCCAAGCTGAACAGGCCCAGTGGGCTAAATGTTTACTGTGCTCCATTTTTTTTGTTTTTGTGAACGATCCCAACTTCTCCAGCCTTTCCGTGTAGCTGCAGTTTCCTCATCCTTGGAAGTATTAATATGAATTTTTTCGTCACTCTTTTCAATACCTCACATCCTTCCTAAAGCATGGTGCCCAGAAATGGATGCATAACTCCAGGTCGAAGCAAAGTTCTCTACAGGTTAAACATAACTTTCCTTCTTTTACAATTTGTGTATTAAGAACAAATCCCTATTGTAATATACCCAGCATTTTTCATTCAAATAGTTAACCAATATGGAAGAAGACTGATTTACATGACCTATCCAGTATTCAATGCTGGACACAGAAAGTCATATTACAAAGGTATTTTAATGTTAGGCTAAAGCATCAAAATAATTGAATTGTTACATTTAGGAGAAGACAATTATGTGACCTTGAACGTTTCTAAATCTTTGGAAGTAGCCTGTATTGTAATTTTTCCATTCTGAAAAAGCCTTCTGGGATAATTGAATTCAACTTTTCGCTGATGTGGTAAAACAAGGCACTTATTGCTGATAATGAGGCAGATTTAACGGAGCCACATTTATTCCTCCCCCCTCCCCCCCTCCCATGTAACATTGCTTTGAAACTGTCCTCATTAAGCAGAAAATTAGACTTCAGAACCCTATTGGTCCTCATTAGCATTCACTGATCCTTGGCTGGGTCTTTGTCCTAACATCTTTTAATTAGCACACTGCAAATCTAATCAGTGTAATAAATGCTATTAATCTTCCTTTTCACTTATTTTCTTACAGCACATCATTTTGCCTTCCTGTGGGCTGCAATCGGAAATACAGTTCCAGCTATATTCTGGGCATTGTATTATCTGGTGAAAAATCCAGAAGCCCACGCAGCTGTACGTGAAGAAATTCAACATGTGTTCCAGGCAGCAGGTCAAAGAACAGGTCCTGACTTCAACATCAGCCTTAACAGAGAAGATTTAGACAGCATGGTGATCCTAGGTAACTCATTTTTAACATGCATCCCAAAAAGAGCATGTACATTTCTGACCTCCAAAACTTCAGAGAATACATTAAACACCTAATTTCATCAATTCTAGGTTACGCCCTCCCTAAGTATTGTGCAGATAGCTTGATTATTTTGTAAGCAATTATTAAATAAATTCAGTGATTCTAAAATTTGAGCAAGAACTAGATTTTCAACCTTATAGACCGTGTGTGATGTTTTTAAGAGCAGCTCACTGATGGGTGAGTGCGATCACCAAATTCATCCTCAATGATTAATTACAAAATTTCTGCCAAGGAACTAGGCAAGCAGTTCTTTCTGATAGAAAGCTAGGGGTGGTGTTTAAATGTTTGCTGATTTTAATTCATGATGTTGAGGTGCCGGTGTTGGACTGGGATGGACAAAGTGAGAGGTCACATGACACCAGGTTGTAGTCCAACAAGTCTACTTGAAATCACAAGCTTTTGAAGTGCTGCTCCTTTGTCAGGTGACTAAGGAGCAACACTCTGAAAGCTTGTGATTTCACTTCACCCGATGAAGGAGCAGCGCTTTGTAAGCTTGTGATTTCAAATAAACCTATTGGATTATAATCTGGTGTCGTGTGACTTCGGATTTTAATTCAAGTTTTGAAAGACCTGACATATGTACATGACCGCCCCCTTGATCATGACCCCACCCCTGAGCACCAAACCATCATCTCGCAAACCATCCACAACCTCATCACCTCAGGTGACCTCCCACCCACGGCCTCCAACCTCATCGTTCCCCAACCTCGCACTGCCCGCTTCTATCTCCTTCCCAAAATCCACAAACCTGAATGCCCTGGTCGACCCATTGTCTCCGCCTGCTCCTGCCCCACCGAACTGATCTCCAACTATCTCGACTCCATTTTCTCCCCCTTGGTCCAGGAACTCCCTACCTATGTCCGTGACACCACCCACGCCCTCCACCTCCTCCAGAACTTCCAATTCCCCGGTCCCCAACACCTCATCTTTACCATGGACGTCCAGTCCCTCTACACCTGCATTCCCCATGCAGATGGCCTTAAGGCCCTCCGCTTCTTCCTGTCCCGCAGGCCCGACCAGTCCCCCTCCACTGACACCCTCATCCGCTTAGCCGAACTCGTCCTCACACTCAACAACTTCTCTTTCAATTCCTCCCACTTCCTACAGACAAAGGGGGTAGCCATGGGTACCCGCATGGGCCCAAGCTACGCCTGCCTCTTTGTAGGTTACGTGGAACAATCCCTCTTCTGTACCTACACCGGCCCTAAACCCCACCTCTTCCTCCGTTACATTGATGACTGTATCGGTGCCGCCTCGTGCTCCCACGAGGAGCTCGAACAGTTCATACACTTCACTAACACCTTCCACCCCAACCTTAAATTTACCTGGACCATCTCTAACACCTCTCTCCCCTTCCTGGACCTCTCTGTCTCCATATCGGGCAACCACCTCGAAACCGATATTCATTTCAAGCCCACCGACTCCCACAGCTACCTAGAATACTCCTCCTCCCACCCACCTTCCTGCAAAAATGCTATCCCCTATTCCCAATTCCTTCGCCTCCGCCGCATCTGCTCCCAGGATGAGGCATTCCACTCCCGTACATCTCAGTTGTCCTCGTTTTTCAAGGACCGTAACTTCCCCTCCTCGGTGGTCGAGAACGCCCTCAACCGTGTCTCCCACATCTCCCGCACCTCATCCCTCACACCCCGTCCACGCAATAAAAACCAAAAAAGAATCCCCCTCGTCCTCACGTACCACCCCACCAACCTCCGGATCCAACGCATCATCCTCCGACACTTCCGCCATCTGCAATCCGACCCCACCACCAAAGACATCTTTCCCTCCCCACCTTTATCTGCTTTCCGGAGGGACAACTCTCTCTGTGACTCCCTTGTCCGCTCCACACTCCCCTCCAGCTCCACCACACCCGGCACTTTTCCCTGCAACCGCAGGAAGTGCTACACCTGCCCCCATACCTCCTCCCTCACCCCCATCCCAGGCCCCAAGAAGACTTTCCACATCAAGCAGATGTTCACCTGCACATCTGCCAATGTGGTATACTGCATCCGCTGTACCCGGTGTGGCTTCCTCTCCATCGGGGAAACCAAGCGGAGACTCGGGGACCGCTTTGCAGAACACTTACGCTCGGTTCGCAACAAACAACTGCACCTCCCAGTCGCGAACCATTTCAACTCCCCCTCCCATTCCTCAGACGACATGTCCATCCTGGGCCTCCTGCAGTGCCACAACGATGCCACCCGAAGGTTGCAGGAACAGCAACTCATATTCCGCTTGGGAACCCTGCAGCCCAATGGTATCAATGTGGATTTCACAAGTTTCAAAATCTCCCCTCCCCCCACCGCATCCCAAAACCAGTCCAACTCGTCCCTGCCTCCCTAACCTGTTCTTCCTCCCACCTATCCCCTCCTCCCACCTCAAGCCGCACCTCCATCTCCTACCGACCAACCTCATCCTGCCCCCTTGACCTGTCCGTCCTCCCTGGACTGACCTATCCCCTTCCTAACTCCCTACCTACACTCACCTTTCCTGGCCCCATCCCCGCCTCTTCGACCTGTTTGTTTCCTCTCCACCTATCCTCTCCTCTATCCCTCTTCTATCCGCCTCCCACTCTCTCCCTATTTATTTCAAAACCCCCTTCCCCTCCCCCTTTTCTGATGAAGGGTCTAGGCCCGAAACGTCAGCCTCTCTGCTCCTATGATGCTGCTTGGCCTGCTGTGTTCATCCAGCCCTGCACCATATTGTACATATGATTGTCTACTTCCTGTTGTTAATGTTAATTAATGGGCATATCATCTTCCTTCCTAAGAAGCAAGGTTTAGGTTCAAAGTCTCTCACTTGGCTGTCTAAAATTGAATGCTGGAGAAAATATGACAATATTTTGTGACTTCATGTCATGAGTGTTCACATTCATATCAAAGCGCCTGATTCTGAATAATGATTTTTAGGAATTTCAAATGATAATGAAAACAATTGAGCATACTTAACTGCACAAACTTATGTCTCCAAATTAAGCCTACTCCATCACTCTGTTTCACTTGTGATTTTGTCTTCACTGTTAAAGATTCCTTACACTAATATTCTCCTTTACTGTGATGACTATAATGCTTTGAAAAAGAGAATTTGATTCCTTGCACTGTAAGGCCACCTTAACTAAAACATCCAGTGCACAATGTGTTAAATCTGTATATTGGATGTGACATACATTTTGGAATGAGAAATGAAGACATATGATCCTTTTAATGTTGGGAGTCAGCAAAACGGAAAAAAAATCCTCTGAGGAAATGCATGATCTCATTTGAGAACAGCGATCACACCTTATCTGACATTAGCTTCTAGCCTGCTTTAGGAAACTGTAGTTTAAAATTGGGATGCTCAAGAGGCATTGAAATGGAGACTGACTGCTGAAAATTATGGCATTGCAGGGTTACTAAGTACAGTAACCACGAATGCACTCTTCCTCACATCTTTCTTGTATGTAAATAAGTATGACTAGCTCATCTGAAAATACTTTGGCCTCTAAGTCAGACAACTGTAGGTTCAAACCCCATTCCAAACTAGAACAGAATTAAATTGATACCTCAGTGCTGTACTGCATTGTTAATGCTTGTCCTCCTCGTTGATTTAAGTGGATTTAAGATTCTGTGGCATATCTCTTTAGCGGAAATAGATAAACTAGTAATTTACTATTTGTGGGATCTTACTTTATGCAAACTATCACCATATTTATCCATATTAATAATGTGACTCAGCAAATAATTAATTAGATTCAATTTTATAAGATGTAAAGTATATTCTTTAATATAGAGTCTGCAATTATCTTTATGGCAGAAACACTCCAAATTATCCTTTGCTATAAGAATATTTTATGCACCTGATGACACTTTCCTAAAGTGTTTGTTGCAATGCATGAACTCATTTTCTTGTTTTTAAATTTGTACTGTCCCATAGCAGCCCTATTTTAAATACAGAATTTTCAAAATCCGCACCCACAGGATGTTTCTCCAATGAGAAATGCCATCTCTTAAAACCCATCATTTAGATATTTTAAACAAAAGTAACAGTCGTCTGATCTTGACACACGCCAGGAACTATTTGTAACTTCTGGCTCACCTGTCAATCACAATGCCAATCTGTCAGGTGCCATTTAGGCAGCTGCTTTCTCCCTAATGTACTGCACAGTGACATTGGGCCCCATTGTCAGCATCATGATTGACAATTGGCTCAATGTTCACAAATAGTTTTCAGGTTTATTTTTCATTCTTTCTTTAGGATGGGCAAACCAAAAGGATTGGTTCATGGGATAGAAGGGGAAGAATGCGAATGGTGACTGAGCTTTGTTTCAGCTATACTTCACTGGGCCAATAGAAGATCATAAGAAATAGGAACAGGAGTAGGCCACTTGGCCCCTTGAGCCTGCTCTGCCATTCAATAGGATCACAAGTGATCTGACATTCATCATGTCTGCTTTCCTGCCCTTTGCCTGTAACCCTTGATTCACCTACTGATCAGGAATCTATCAATCTCAACCTAGAGTATACACAAGGACTCTGCCCACCCCCAGCTCTCTGAGGTATAGAGTTCCAAAGAGTCTCAACCCCCTGAGAAAAGAAATTCCTTGTCATCTCAGTCTAAATTGATACCCCTTTATTCTGAGACAATGCCCACCAGTCCTAGACTTTCCCATGAGTGGAAACATCCTCACAGCACTTACCCTGCCAACCCCTTAACAATCCTATATGTTTCAATGAGATCATCCCTCATTCTTCTAAACTCCAGTGAATAGAGTCCCAGCCTTTTTAATATTTGCTCATAAGAAATCTCTCCATTCTGGGGGCTAATTCTAGTTAACCTTCTCTGAACTGCCTCCAATGAAATTTTCCTTAAGTTTTTTTCAATAAGGAGACCTTAAATAAGGGGACCAAAACTACTCTCAGTATTTCAGATATATAGGCGTGAATGTGAAGCTAAAAAATGTTACTAGAGCACATCTTGACCACCCTTTAAGGCAACTAATTTATCTACACTGTTTGTAACTTCCTTACCAAGCAAGAACCCTTATAAAGCGTGCATTTTATAAAGCATCACTACCATCTTAAATGTGGCTTTCCACCATGACACTCAAAACTTGAGCAGAAAATGCAGGCCTGGCGGAAGAGCCATTTTCCCCAGCAAACTGCTTCTGCACTGCTTTCTCTTTCATGTTGGATAAACCACACTTTCCTGACTTCCATTAGGAATTGGAATGGACTTCTCAGTGAGAAACACAGTTGGCCTTTAAGGTTAATCTGCATTGACTCCACTCAAGCTCTTTTATCTAATTTTATAAAGTTAGTTTTTTTCAGTAGATCAGAATTACTTATTGATCCAATGACATATCAGTCTTCTTTTGAGTTATGTAGTTTAACCAACAATAAGCAGAATTTAAAGTTTTTTGAGAAGGCTTGTAGCTTAGATTGTGGATGAGGCTGTAGACTTGCTCACCGAGCCAGTGTGTTTGGTTGCAGACGTTTCATCACCCTGCTAGGTAAAACCAGAATGATAGGATTTTATTGTACGACCAGCCTGCTATGTAAATGTGCTGAGATTTTTCAGTAAGTTGCCAATTTACGAATAAAAATCATTTATTCGTTTTGACTAACCCTAACTCTATTGATTGGTGTTGAGGAAAAATGTTACATTCTGCTTGCACAATCCACCATTACCTCTGCGACAGACCACAACAAGAAGACACAACGTGGCCAGACATGCTAGTCACCCTAGCGTACATCAGAGACGTATCAGAGATGACCACAAGATTATTCACACCCCTAGGTATCAGAGTAGCTCACAAACCAACAACCACCCTGCAAACGTAAAGGATCCCGTACCCACAACCAATAAAACTAATGTAATATACCATGCAAGGACTGTGAGAAACATTACATAGGCCAAACTGGAAGAAAACTGACAATAAGGATACACAAACACCAACTAGCCACCAAGAGACACAACCAGTTCTCACTGGTCTCAATACACACGGACAAAGAAGGACACAAATTCGACTGGGACAGCACATCCGTAATAGCAAAACCCAAACAGAGACATGCCAGGGAATTCCTGGAAGCCTGGCATTCCAACCAGAACTCCATCAACAAACACGTTGAACTGGACCTGATATACAAACCACTGTAAAACAGAACCAGAAGTGATGCCAACCACCCTAGCAAACCAAGGCATATAAATAACAAGTGGGACAGAACATCAACGCTTCACAGGAGGTGCGCTGACGATGTTACCTAGCAGAGTGACGAAACATCTACAATCAAACACACCAGCTTGGCGAGCAAGTCTACAACCTCAACAAGCAGAATGTAACATTGTTTCCTCACTCTAATCAATAGAGTTAGGGTTAGTCAAAATGAATAGATGATTTTTTTTTTGTAAGTTGGCAATTTACTAAAAAATCTGAGCACATTTTCATAGCAGGCTGATTGTGCAATAAAATCCTATCATTCTGGAATGAATTCTCCTTTTTGCTTTTCCATTTATTGTCAGTTTATTAGCAGACAAATTGAAAACAATAACTGTGGAGATTGACCACTGTACATTTCTAGTTGGTAATTGGCCACTTACTGTTCAGTACTATTGAGCTTCATTTTATTGACCATTGCTTATGCTCTTTCTGAGTCTTGAGTCAGGCGTTAAATATAGAAGTAGTTGACAATGACCTTTAAGCTTTATGCAATCCTTTAGTGCAGTATCTGATTGGTAACTGGGCATCAAATCACCATGTTGTATTTCAAGCTGACAGATTCATTTTATCCCAGTTTGCAAGCCTGTAATGGTTACAATAAAGTCTCAAATTATTTTGTAACCTACAATGTTTCCTAGTTTTGCAACAATTAATTTATTTGAAAATTAGAAACAAAATTTATGTTGATTGCTACCTTATCAAATTTTTAGAAAGCAGTTGACTTCTTGTACAATCAACTACGGCAAACATGGCAATAGTTTATAACCAGCCTCGCACAATATTACTTACATTGTAAGGATCAAAAGACTAGCTTGTAATTTGAATGCTTTGATGCATTGTCATCAATTGGCTTCTATCAAGGCTGTCCATAGATTGTAGACTAGATTGAAACTTTCACTTTAATAATCTAGATAAACATGTTTGTCATACAGGGTTGGACCTGCAAACGTTTCATAACTCATATATTTCAAGAACAAAATAAGAAACCTTTCACAGCTGCTGACAATGCAGCATGTTCTCAAAAGGGACTGAACGTTTCCCCTAAACTGAACATTCATCCGAACCTTAGTCTCCAATTTGCTTTGCAAAACTAAGGGTCGTACTCACTTGCTGTCTGGTTATCCTGTCATAGGCTTTAAATGGGTTTGTTTGTTCGGTACTAGTACAGAAACAGATGCTGCGCCACTGCACTGGATAATTTACTACACCTCTTGGTACTGAATAGAAGACTTCCTGAGCTACCAGCTGATCTATCTGTGGCATTGGATGGCTGCTTTTGATATATCTTAAATGTGTGCAAGAAATTGTAAGCAGGTTATTTAGATTGATGAGATTTTCTACATTTTATATTTGGGAATGTGTTGCATGCTTTAGAGAAATGTGTCTTTTAATTTATCAACTTAAACCCATAGGCCTGTGCTTCTCCCTTGCTGATCATCATCTGACTCATTACTTTTGGCATTTAATAATTATCATCATGATTGCTCAAAGCCAAAGCAGCCTAACCTCCCACATGTAGCTGGTATTGTAAGGTAAAACAGATTTGTCATTTACGATCTGACCACGAAAACACACTTTGTGCTCCATTATCATGATTAACTTCTGCATAAGATATGCTTGCCCAATTGTCATTTGTGATACTACATCAGCCACTGACTGCCATGCTGTAAGGGAGAATTTCAACCAATGGAATGTGACCATGTTGCTCGAGTGATAACTACTACACAACCATTTCACAGTCGTGTGCTGTAGTCATGAGATTTTTTTTTCTCTCTGTTTCGTCTGATTTCATAGGCAAACAGTAATGTTTCACTTGTCATCTATCATTTCCCAAGCACATACTAAAATGGTTTATACACAGTGTCTTTCTTGTGGCTGCGCACAGCATGAGGGTAGGGGGGTAGACATTTTCTTGTACGCTGCAAAGTTTCGCTGCCAGGGCGCTGCCAGTTAGAATCTATCGTGTCAGGTGCCTTGTGGCAATCCGCAATCCAGGCTTTCTTCTGGATCCGCAGTTCTACTCTGGCTTCGTCACCAACAAACCGATTTGACTCTGCCTGATTATAGTAACGAAGGCAGTCCAAAAGAATATGCACAGACTCACTGTACGTCACATTGAATCACCGCGCTGACCACACAGAGCTGACCGAAGCTTCATTCCTTTAGACAAATGCACGCTTAAGGAGAAACCTCCTGCAAGAATGCATCCCATGCCAGTTTATTTTCTGTGCACTCTGCTACAGATTTAATGTTTACTGAAAGAACAGTTGCTGTTTACTTCGGATTAGCACTTGCAGTTTTTTTTTAAGCTTCCTTTCTTAACAACACCATGGTGCTTGGGATCACAAGTGAAACTTTCTTTATCCCTTTAATGTAGGTGACGAGTTTTGTAAATTCGTATCAACTCATGGGTGGATACTCAATTTTTCTACTTTCCCATGATGATCAGAAAGAATCAAGTTGCTAAATTCTCTATCCAGATATGCTGTTGGAAAGAAGTCAGTTTTGATTACAATGTGAGTGTTGCAACCCCTAGACAGGAGCTACATGCTGATATGCATTCTATCAGAATGATTTATGCAAATTATGCACATTATTCCCACAGGAATTCTTCTTCGAACTGCCAGGATAAATTGCCGGAAATTAGCCATAAAATCTGTCAAGCGGGGAACAAAAGTTGAAGGCCACTAGGAAAGCAAGGACATTGGGTTTCTGGAGCCTACTAAGATGGGGTGGCACATTTGCACTGAAAAGCTTTTGTACAAGAATTTGAAAATCTGCAATCATCATCTTTACAAGGAAATTGTACCTATTTTTTGTGCTGAAATCAGAAAATTCCAGCACTTAATTCAACACTGAATACAGCCAATATATCATTTGATATGCTTATAATTTTAAGGATTTTTTCCCAAAATAAATTATGAATACAGAAAGTGATTGAGTCCTTAGGTGGGACCTTTCTAAAATTCTTGACGCTAACACTGTTCTTCTTTCTCTCTGCATTTGTTCTGTCTGTCTGTTCTTATAATCACTTGCCTTTAGGAAGTGCAATAAAAGAGAGCTTTCGATTATGCAGTGCCTCTATGAACATCCGAATTGCTCAGGAGGATTTTACCTTAAAATTTAAAGACGAACAGAGCATCAAATTGAGAAAAGGGGATTGGGTTGTCCTTTATCCTCAAATTTTACACATGGATCCAGAGGTTTATGAAAATCCTGAGGTATGTCGTGTCCTGCTTGTGCAACTCAGTCTACCCTGCTGCCTTACAGCAACAACCAGGCCTTTTGTTCTAGCATTGCGATTGCTCTTTCTTGTGAAAAGAATCTTCCATCTTTTGAATAGCGTGTGGTCCAAGACCTGAAGGTCATTGAATTTAGTGTCTCAATAGAGAATATGGGAATGAGATTGAGTAGTGTTGCTTTGAAAAGGATTAACATTGAACTGTGAATTGATTGGCTTGAAGTCAAGAGAACTCTCCGCTTTGTTAGGTAAAGGATCAGTTGATGACCAGGAGAAAAATAGGATAAAGAACTGTGTCGGTAACAAATAAGCTGCACCATTTAGATAATTGTGCTGGAGCATCATTGATTCCAAAAATTCCTGTAATAGCCATATGTTGCTTCACATCACTTCATAAGGATTCTCCCTTTTCTTGATCAATTGATATGGTGCTGTGAACTTGAGATTGTGAAGCTATTGCTCTGCACTGAAGCTCTAAGGGTAATTGTGTCATCTCCCTGTATTTTTTTCTCTCTGCAGCCAGAGTTAATGAATATCAAAGACTGGAAATTAATCCACCATGGCACAGCCTTAATGTGGCTTGAGAGATTCACCACCTGCATGCAAATTAAATGCAATCAGATTCTACATTGCATTTGGTGAATTGTTGCTGGTACTAGCATTAACACTAAATTATGAGCTGAAGTTGGAAAGCAGAGATGACTGTTCCAGCAGCAGCAAACACTGCTGTCTTCTTTCTCACCATGACCTTCCCATGTACATGTGCACATGAATACATTAAATTCAGCTATTAGTATTAATTGACACTTATTATTCAAGACAAAAATTTGATTTGGCCAGCATTTAATTTAGCATAATACATTCTTAGTACACTAAATCATGGTCAACTACCATTGAATACAACTAGTTAACATTGATGCAGCATTACATAAATTGTCTTCCATAAATATTGTCATGAAGCAACAGATTACATTGCTTGTAGCTATTGCGAGTATGTAAAAAAAACTAATTCTCCACACTATCTCTCTAAAAAACTGATACACATTTATGATTTAATAATATTAATAAATATTAAGTTTAATATTTAAATTTAAAGGATGAAGTGGTCTAAAGGTTCAAATGCTGGTTGTAAACTCAGCCTTATTTAATATCACCTGAAACTTTGTAATTTACTCCCAGGAATCCATTAGTATCCACCAATAGTTAAACATGCAATGAATACTTGTTGAAACTTAGAGGTGAAATTTTAACACATTTCAAATCTGTGTCTAGGTGCTTGAATTTGATATAGAGGAGAGAGTGTAAAAATAATAGGGATCTAGAAGAGAGTGGGAAGAATGATTACGATGGTCATGGAAGGCTTTCCATTTATAAACCCATCAGACTGCAAGACTGAATTGTTCTGACCCACAACTATACCAAGTTCCTTGTTTATTACAGAAGCAAAAGAGCAGGACCTTTTTAACTTGGGAAGTGGTTTCTTTCAAAAAATGTTATGGAAATGAGGACTGCAACCCTCACTAAAGCTGCAGATGCGGCATCAATTCGAATTCTCAAGGCCAAGCTCTATAAATGTTTGTTTTGTGATGGCAAAGGGATATGGAGCAATGGCAGATAAATAGAGATAAAATACAAATGAATCATAATCTGATTAAATGCCAGAACTGGTTTGAGGAGCTTAATGGCCTTCTCCCTTTCCCATGAGGTATGGAACCTGAGTGATGGTCATAAGTTTATACAGAGTCACTTAATGAGAAATAAGCAAAACATGTCACAATGTTAAATGTAATACATCTTTGTATGGTGTGTATGTACAATGTTTGTGGTGTCCTTAAAAGAAAAATTGCATTTTTAGTCCAGGTTGCAAACTCTTTTGATATACAATATAAAGCTGTACACACCAGAACACCCAGGGAATTTAATTCTGTGGTTCTTGAGAGGTCATTAGTTAGTTGCTATTTATCTGTTGAGTTTACAGGGATTCAGAGTGCATGACCTTACTAAAGTTTGTTTGGATCTATCATATTTAGAAGGTAGTTGTACGAGTTTATTTTGGCTGTGCAAGTTTTTAGTATGAATACCTGTTTGCTGGACTCTGTTGTTTGATTTTTCAGAATACTTGCAGGTAGTTGAAATAGCTCCACAGAGGCTGGTATCCCATCACCAAATAACACTTTAATTACACGTGGAGAGCCTTTGACAGTGAGGGCCAGCTCTCAGAGTGAACAGAATCTCTGCCACTCCTGTTTATATCTGTCAGCCAGGGCTCCCTGATTGGAGCAGATTAACAGCCCCAGTCAGGGAACTCATATTTTATGAGGTCCAGCTAGCTGACCTGAGTGCAGTAGTAATTACAAGAAAGTCACAATGTCTGATACTGGGAGTGGATGTACAGCAATATAGTTTATTTTCCAAGTGAGTTATTCATGGAATAAATCCTGATCCCACCTTTGTAAGAAAGAAACTTTGGGATGAATCCTGCCCATTCCTAAAGGGCGTGTCTTCAGTGATGGCATCATGTAACATAAGGCAGGAGTCTTGCTCAACACCTTCCTCCTCACCCTTTAACTCATTCCCATTAGACCAAAAAATGTCTATCAGAATAAGTAATTAACTCATTGGGTATAATTGCATGATGGCACAGAGCTTAAATATTATTGAAAAAAAGAGAGAAAAGCAGTTGAAACATTTTGTCTTTTAGTCACCCACACAGAACAAGAATACAACATTACAAAGGGAACAATAATTTATATTGCTTGATTGATTGATTGTCGGGTGTACCGCTGTACAGTGAAAAGCTTTGTTTACGAGCAGATCATGGTAAACAAGGATGTGCAGATCAAAAAGACTTAGACAGACGCATACAGGTTACATTGCACAGGGCATGCACTAAGCGAGATCACCGTTAGCAAGATCAGCATTATTTGAGGCTAGAGAGTGCATTCATCAGTCTGATAATGGCCAGGAAGAAGCTGTTCCTGAACCTGCATGTGTTCAGACTTCTGTATCTTCTGCCTGATGGAAGAGGTTGTAGGAGACCATTACTAGGGTGCAATGGGTCTGTGATGATGTTGGCCACCTTTCTGCGGTAGCGAGATGCGTGAATGGAGTCCTTGGATGAAAGTTTGGCTTTGTGATGTGCACACCTCCTTCTGTAGTTTCTTACGTTCCTGGGCAGAGCAGTTGCCCTACCAGGCTGTTATGCACCCGGACAGTATGCTTACAGCATCTGTAGAATTTGGCGAAGGACCTTAAGGACATGCCAAATTTTCTGAACCGCCTGAGGAAGAAGAGGCATTGTTGTGCCTCCTCCCATGCAGCTACATAGGAGGTCTAGGACAGGTTGGCAGTTATTGTCACTTGGAGAAGTTTGACGCTCTCCACCCTGTCAACCTCAGTTCCTATTGCTTGAGAAGCAGAATCCAAAATGCTTCAGTTGCTTTTCTCTTTTTTTGGGGTAATATGTAAGCTCAGTGCCACCAAGCAGTTATACCCAATGAGTCAATTACTTACTCTGATAGACATTTTGTTGGTTAAGTGACAAAAAGAGATTCTAATCACAAATTATACTATTTGACCTGGAAGGTAGCATTGCCTGATGATACCGCATGCCCTCATTTTTCTGCAATTTTCAGGAATCTAAATGGACTATGTCAGATATTGTGTTGTGATAGCAGACCAGTTACTTTCATGGTTATACCACTGAGCTTAGACATTTGAAATGATTGATATTTGAAGCACATATGGGGTACATTTCTAGATTTTTTAGCTTAAACTGTGTCTTCTCATTTAGCAGTACATATATTTAATTTCAGGTCCTCAAAACACCTGTATTCAGGTAACACTCAGTGTCACTAAAGGACCAATAACACTTGGACTACAGTCACTAATTCATATGTTGTATATCGCTGTTATATACCCCAAAAGTAATATCCAATAAAACTACAATTTGGATTGCCTGCAGAAAATATTAATATTCTGACAAATGGGATATTTCTACAAGGCTCAAATATTGTAAAATGTAAATATGATATGACTCTGAGAGAGAACATTGAGTTCTGTCTTTTGCTTTGCATTTCTTCTTGTTTGTTCATCCCAGTACAGTTTCAGTGATAATACAGTCATACATAACAATTACATTGAAGTACTACCTTAAAGAAAACTGATGATTGCTCAGCACACACAAATCAGAGATGCAAGTGTTTGAGACAAGTATAAACAAACTAAAATATTCAAAATCTAAAGTTATTCAAATACTTAGGAATGCTGCATTAAGTAGTAGTGCCAAGTGTTTTCACAGTGGCTTAGTAGAATCATTTGGCAATCAATAAACAAGAGAGAAAGTAAAAATGAGTTGGGGAACAGATTGTGTTCCACTTTGTGGGAGGCAGATTTGAATTTTCACAGTTAATCTGAAGCTCCAGCTTCCTTTAGTGCCTTTTCCAAACCTCAATGAAATAACATAACATTTTCTGGCATTTACTCGTTTGGGACTACATTTCAGAGCAACCTATATATTTTACCACAAAATATGTAGGTTAATGAATATGTATGAAACAGTTCTGGAATCGCAGGGGACAGGAATTCAAGGAAAGGACAGGAGGTTTAGAGGGGATGTGGGGAAAGATCTTTTCACTCAGAGGGTGGTGGGAATCTGGAACTCACTGCCTGTCAGGGTGGGAGAGGCAAAAACCCTCATCATATTGAAGAAGTATTTAGATGTACACTTGCGATGCCAAGGAATACAAGGCTATGCACCAAGTGCTGGGAAATGAGATTAGAATAGTTAGGTGGTTGTTTTTAACTGGTGTGGACATGATGGGGCACATGGCCTTTCTTTGCACTGTAGATCTCTTGTGACTTTATGGTTCTGATAAATTTATACCTCATGAGAAGTTCCATCAGCTTTCCACAAGTGACTATTTAGCAAAGCATACAATTAATGTTTTACTTTTAAGCAACTTGAAGTGGAAGCAAAACAATTTTACCAATATAGTTTTGACTTTAAAAGTGTTTTACTTAATCATGTTTATATTAACTATTTTGTTTGAAAGTCACTTTTAATGATCGTGATGTTGCCTTTGACACTCCACTCAGTTGTCCCTGGGGCATACACTTGTAAACATTGACAAAATGATTGATTACGGAAGGCAGCACAGCCAAGGGCTCACCTGAGAGTGACACACGCGTACAATTTCACTCAACAACATCAACTGGAAAAGAAAACAAGGCAGAGTATGATATGAGCTACCAATTTGTACTACGACCCAAATCAAGTTTTACCTTCTTGTAATGATACATAGAGACTTCTTTTAATTTCTATTTTGCAGGTGTACAAGTATAATCGCTTCATGGAAAATGGAATGGAGAAGACTACCTTTTACAAGGGAGGAAGGAAACTTCGCTATTATTTGATGCCTTTTGGTTCTGGATCTAGCATGTGTCCTGGGAGACATTTTGCAATCAGTGAGATCAAAATATTTCTCTCAATAATGTTAACTGCATTTGACTTGGAAATCATTGAAGGAGAAAAGCCAGTTGGACTTGATAATAACCGTGCAGGCCTTGGCATCTTACTGCCTGATTCTGATGTTCAGTTCCGCTATAAATTGCATCAGTAAAGAAACATGCTAAATTTCCATTTTCAGACTGAGAAAATGATATATTGGTCAGTCAGCACAGCTGGTTTGATCGATATTTCACTGAAGGAATGGGAGTAATGCTTGCTGACTTTGGTTGAATCAAATCTAGGAAATTCTTTACCTTTAAATAGAAGAAAAAAGCAACTTTTGGAAAATATTGTTGTACTTTTCCTTGTGTTCACAGCATTGAAAAATTCCTGTTTATTTCCTATTCGTACATAACTTTCAGATCTTTTAACCTGATCTTGAAGCACGCATATATGAGTTGGATAGATTTAGGTATCTGCATCTTTCAATGTGAATTTTCATGTAATACAAATACTTTTAAGGAACTGAGCTGGGTGAAGGTGGCAGTACAGGGCTCATGTGATTTTCTGTCCATTCAAAGTTTTGCAGGGGCTCCAGCCTCTATAAATAAGCAGGGAAATCATAAGGTGTAATTAATCCAGGCCAGCTTGTTCAGATGTAGTGAATTTAGTGAACTTTGCCTGCTAATTCATTTCATGATTGAAATGTGCAGCCGTGCTGTTGAGTAGCTGGAAACCTGAACAGGGGTCAGAAATTTGAGAGAGGCTAGCGTGGGTTGAATGGAGCTTATGGTACTTATAGCTCGCCTGCACTTTTAACTGAGATGTGCACTTTGACTGCAGAAGGTGCTGGAAGTAATTTTAAAATGCGGGTTTGACCTGGGAAAGAAACAATAATGGTACAGTATACAGAGAGCAAGCTCTAGGTTTCTTTTCAGCAGCAACGGAGGTCTTGATGCGAAACATGTACAGGATACCTTCTAGACATCACCTCAAAAGCAGCGTGAGTGGATTAATCTTGTATAAGTGGTCAAGGTCATCGAAAATAACCTTTCAAGGTCATTTTCCACCAACTTTGTTACTAGCTTCACACACACTGCTTAATATACCATATTGCTGTCATCCACCATCCAAAAGTCCTACTGATTGAAAACTCAAGCCGCTCATTCATGGTTTCATATCACTCTTTCCCACTCATATTAACGACTGTCAGATTTCACATCCTGGCTAGAAATGTTGTCCGTTCCAGCCTGCATAGATCCTAGACCTAAAATGGTCTCGAACGCAGTCAACTTCACTCACAAAGCCATCATCACAGAGCTCAGAGGCTTCAGGTTTTACCTGCAACATGGGACAGATTTGAATGAGCAGCCCCTGGCTGTAAGGGGGAGATCAGACATTCTGGCCTGGATTTTTGTGTAGTAATGGAGGATCAGAAAAGTTTCCAGAATAGCAGAAAGTGCTGAGTTTGAATAGTCCACATTCTGGCTACAGCAAAGGCATAATCCACAAGTTGGTGATCACAGTTTTATACAGTAGTTGTAAAGGAAATTGAGGCTGAATAGATCTAATAATTGTCAGATATAAATCACATGCTCTTTAAAAATGAATAGAAAATTTTGAGCTACTGCTGTCTTGAGTATTTTTAAAAAACTGATCTAGAAGTTACAATATCTGTTTTTTTCATATTTACCAAAGAGCTCTTTATGAATCTGATTTCAACAAATTACAATTATATCAGCAGGGCATTCAAAATTAACAGTTTTATTGATGTGGCGTTATGAATAAAAGTTTGCTTCATAAGAGGTTATGCACTGGAATGGAAATTGTTTTATTATTGCAAGGACTGTATTACAAGCTTGGGCCTTTGTTTTATTTTATCTTAGCATGGTTGCTGAGACTAATAACAGTGGATAAGACGAGAAGAAATAGGAACAGGAGAAGGCCATTAGGCCCCTCAAGCCTGCTGTGCCGTTCCATAGGATCATGGCTGATCCTACATTCCTGAACACACTTTCCCCATAAACCTCAATTTCCCAACAGATCAAGAATCTGTCTCAGCCTTAAATATACACAAGGACTCTGCCCCCACAGCTCTCTGTGATAAGGAGTTCCAAACATTCTCAACTCTCTGAGAGAAGAAATTCCTCCTCATGTCAGTCTTAAATTAGAGCTCCTTTTGTTCTGACACTATGCCCTCTTGTCCTAGTCTCTCCCATTCTCCCATGAGGAGAGAACCAAGCTTGACCTGTTAACCAGCTTACCTCAATACTCTGCCCTGCCGATGGGTGCGTCCAGTCTGCTTCCTGGAGTCTGGGCCCAAATCCAGACAGCAGCACCTCTCCTCTGTGAATGTTAGCTCTGATACGGCGGTCTCAGGAGCAAAAATCTAGCCCACTGTATTTCACTGAAGCATGGGGAGGAGAATTACTCTGTGTACAGCCCCTTACTGCAGGTCCTTCTCCTCCACCACCTCCTTCCTCTTCCTGAACGTCCTTTGTGTCACCTCGGCTTAATCTCCCGGTCATGTTGCAGGCCAAGAGGAATAGAAACTGCAATAATAAAGAATGGGACCAGGACTGTGAGCAGAACTCTTGAAGTGAGAACCAAACCCGTTACCATGTGCCATTCCACTCTGTAATTGTCAACTTTAAGTAATAATACAACCATAAAAGCTTTGCTAACTCTATTCTGGCCAATAGAATAACATCAGCAACTAGCCTGAATCGAGTCAATGATCACTTTAAATATCTCTGGTGGAGGAGTGGAGGGGATTACTTTTTGCTGCTGAATGGACGTGCAGCTTCATGAGATTAATATTGGGTGTAAGCTGGAGTTTTAAATTACAAAATAGTACTACTAGAATCAAATCGGTGTTTCATACTGACTTATGTGTAATCTAATTACTGTCTTTGTCTGTATATTTCCATAGCACATGTGCTAATAGACTCCCAAAATGGTATTCATATGACCTATGTCACAGTCCTATTTCAGACTAAACTTTAGTTTAGTATTTAAAAGAAAGGTACGACACAAATAAATTTTGTGGTCACAGAATACAAAAGTAACAACATTATACTAAGCTATTATACAACTCTCGTTAGGTCTCAGCCAGTCTAATACATATAGTTCTGATCACCACTCTTCAGGCAGGATGTCTAGACATTAAAGAGGATTCAGATTGAGGGTTGGGGTTAATCAGTACAGGTAATTTTTTTTAGTTTGTTCATGGGATGCAGGTGTCACTGATTAGGCCAGCATTTGTTGCCCATCCATAATTGTCCAGAGGGCAGTCAAGAGACAGCCATATTGCTCTGGGTCCTAAAGGACAATTGGATGGCGCCATGGCTCAGTGGTTAACATTGCTGCCTCACAGTGCCAGGGACCTGCAATTGATTCCAGCCTTAGGTGACTGTCAGTGTGAAGTTTACACGTTCTCCCCATGGCTGTGTGAGTTTCCTCTAGTATTCTCCCACAGTCCAAAGATGTGCAGGTTAGGTGGACTGGCCAAGCTAAATGGCCCATAGTGACCAGGGATGTGCAGGCTGGGTGGGTTAGCCGTGGGAAGTGCAGTGATATGGTGGTGGGGGGGTGTGCGTCTGGTTGGAACGGTGTTTGGAGGGTCAGTGTGGACTCGATGGACTGAATGGCCTGCTTTCAAACTGTAGGGATTCTGTGATTTTATGACATTGGTGAACCAGATGGGCTTTTATGATAACTGCCAGTAGTTACATAGGTGGAATTTAGCAAGCTTTTAATTTCAAGTTTTATTCAGTTAAAATTTCACCATCTTCCACGATGGGATTCAAACCCCATGTACCTGGAACATTCACTTGGGGTTCTGCATTATTAATCCAATGGCATCACCATTGCAGCACCATCCTACCCTCAGCCCCACATCTGATGTTGATCAAAATACCACCTCCTGTGTTGTATTTATTGATTCCATGGTTAAAATATGCTTGAATATTAATTTTGATCTGAATCTGGTAAATACATTTTGCCATGATAAAATTCTGAAATTCATTGCTTTGTATTTTGTAATTACAATTCCTGTCAAAAGATGCAGATAATAAGCTCCTGGAAAAGCCTTTCCTGCCACAATCCATTAATTTTCCCTTATAATTTTCAAATGTTATGTATTTTACTGTATTATAATATTATAAGAAAATAGAACTTCTATTTTACTTTGTCTTGTATTGTCTCAGAAGCAGTGATTCTACTTGTGCCTGTTTGAGATTATGAACAAAAACAAAGTTGCTGGAAAAGCTAAGCATGTGTGGCAGCATTTGTGAAGAAAAGAACAGAGTTAACATTTCGGGTCCAGTGACCCTTCCTCAGAACTGCTGAGCTTTTCCAGCAACCTTGCTTTTGTTCCTGATTTACAGCATCCATAGTTCTTTCAATTTTTATTCTGTTTGAGATTATGTTCATCGTTAAAAAATCTATTTTATATGGAAGATTCGCTTTAATTCCATTACATTTTAGTTTATTGATAAATTTTAATATAAAACAAAACCTGCAAATAGAGCAGAAGGAGCTGTAATTATCATCTAAAATAGTTCTTGATAGTTATAATCCCTTCATGAATATAACTGTGTTTAGTTCCCTGTGTATGAGTAAACACACAAATGGGTGGGCTATGTCATGATATAATCATGTATTGGATCCTTTTCCAGTTTTATTATGTTAAGTTAATAATGCAAAATGAAGAGTAAAAATCATAATTAAGGTGGTGTAATAAGCTTCTAGCTGGGTGTAATTGCATGACCAATATAAAATGAAGTTGGGCTATAAAAGCAAGTATCTGGAGGTCTACCTTCTGTGGCAAGGCATCACTTCTGACAGTTGTGGTTTGCTGGAAGTTTGTGTAACATTTAATCTTTAATAAATAGCATGTATTTTACTCCATTCCCAGCAATTCATCATTGGTATGCAGAGAATGCAGTGTTTCATTTCTATTATTGCAAACTTCACATTCGTAACACTGTACATTTTACATTTAGAAGTGTGCCTACAATGTAGCTCTACAGTAATGCGACCATAACAAAGGGTCCATCCAATATGATCTTAGAGTCATAGAAGCCTACAGTACAGAAACAGACCCTTCACCCCATCAAGTCTGTGCTGGTCAAAAACAAGCCTAATTCCATTTTCCAGAATTTGGCCCTTAGCTATGTGTGCCTGGACGTGGTACGTTCACATCTAAATACTTCTTCAGAACTATCTAGAGCAGGTCTGGCATATTCTGTGGAGAGAAGACAGAGTTAACATTTTGAATCCAGTGGCCCTTCTTTGGAACTAAGCAGACTTTTGACCAATCATCCTATCTATATTCATCTGCAAACTCCGTTTGTCTTCTTCACGCCATTCCTTTCTACCTTTGCGCCATCTGTAAATTTAGCTACCACACCTCCCCTCATCTAAGTCATTGTTGTGAATTGTCACATCCTACCCATCAGAAACTGACTTATTTATGTGTACTCTCTTTTTTTGTGAGCCAGCCAACCTTCAATCCATGATAATATGTTACTCTGTACACCAACATTTCCTGCCAGGATGGCAGCAGCTTCCAGAAGTGGACAACATCCAGTGGCACATCAATTGACCTGTGCTTCTTGCAACTACCCAAACTTTTTGTTTCTGCAATAATTTTTGAATTAGGACTTTATCCATTGCCTCTGTACATCCAAATACAGTATAACAACAGACTCACAATTGTCCACAGCACATTATTCCTTTGAAGTACTTTCGTAAGATGCTGAAACATGATTTTACTTTCAGGAAAATCATACTGGCTGTTGAGCTTTTCAAGTGCCCAGCTACACCTTCCCTAATGACCAATTGAAAGCTTTCCCCATGACTGACTTTAAGTCAAGTGCCTATTGTTTCATGTTTTCTGATTCCATTCCTTTTGAATAGGGAAGTTATATTGGCCACTTTACAGTTTAATGGAAACTTTCCAGAATTGAGCAAAATTCTGGTTAATTAAAACCAATGCCTATACTACCTTACTGGTCAATCTTTTAACACTCTAGGATAAAGACCATCTGGACCCAAAAACTTGTCAGTCTGCAGCTCAATCAATTCGCTTAGTGCATTTCCTTAGTGATTGTAACTTCACAAAGTTCCTCTTTCTTCCACCTGTTAATTTACAACTATTACTGGAATTATTTTAAATCCTCTATAAGTGAGGATAATAATCTACTTCAAAATTTGTTCAATTTTTAATTTTATATACCTGTTGGAACTCTTGCTGTCATTTTTATATTTCTAGCTAGCTTCCTCTCGTACACTAATTTCTTCCTCATAATCAACGCTTTAGTAATTCTGTGCTGTCCTTTATATTCTGACTATTCATTTGAAGAGCTGCTCACCTTTGCACAGATATGACATTTTCCTCTCGTTTTCATCCTACTTCACTAAGCCATGTACAGTGGAGTCCTCCTTTTAAAACTTTTCTTTATTGTAGTCTGTTTTTATATTTGTGGATATATCATATTTTCTTGTAGAGTGCTTGTAAATAAACCTGGTAAACACAAGACCAGATACAAAGGAATGTACAGTTTATTTTGCACGCAAGAAGTGAACATGCAAAGCAACAAGTAAAATTTGTGCCACACAAGTGCCAGGCAATGATAATCTCTAATACAGAGAGAATCTGACCGCAGCCCCTTAACATTCAATGGCATTACTGCCACTATCAACGTCCTGGGCGTTACCATTGACCAGAAATTGTACTTAACTAGCCATATAAATACAGTGGCAACAAGAGTATGAACAGAGATAGGTAGTTATCCCCCTCTGACCTTTGACTTAGATCTGGCTTGCTGCGAATTGTGTGTATCACCTCATGTTTATGCAAATTGCTTGCACATTCCTTGCTACGGTTGCCATACTCCTGCATAGTCTTCTGTTAGTTCTTATTGTGTGGTCTTTGAAGCCAGGTTTCTTGCATAAGCTGGTCCAGTGTCCTTTTAGATGGCAAGCTAGGGGAGGAGATGGCCTGGTGGTGTTATCGCTGGACTGTTAATCCAGAGACCCAGATAACATTCCCAGGACCCAGGTTCGAATCCTGCCATGGCAGATGGTGGAATTTGAATTCAATAAGTATCTGGAATTAAGAGTCTAATGATGACCGTGGATCCATTGTTGATTGTTGGAAAATCCCATTTGCTTCACTAATATCCTTTAAGGAAGGAAACTGCCATCCTTACCTGGTCTGGCCTACATGTGACTCCAGACCCACAGCAATGTGGTTGACTCTTAACTGCCCACTGGGCAATAAATGCTGCCTGGCCAGAGATGACCTCATCCTGTGAATGAATAAAGAAAAAAAAAGCCATGCGGGACAGCTTCATGGAGGATGCAATAGTCCTCAGTTTCCACACAACCTACTTGCATTTCATATCCTGGCTAACAAGGAGCAGGATCAGTTCATTCAGCATCTCAAACCTGCACTGCCATTTAATAAAATGATAACTGATCTGACCTGTAACCTCAAATCCACATCCCTGCCTACCCCTGAACATCTTTCACCTACTTATTAAGAAACTATCCACCTCTGCTTTAAATTTTCCTCCACCTTTCAAGGAGGCGAGTTCCAAAGGCTTATGTTGCTCCATAAGAAAACAATTGCCTCACTTCTGCTTTAAATGGGCAGTGCCTTATTAACAGAATAGGAAAGGCTTATGGGCCAAATACTGGCAAATGGGACTAGATTAAATTAGGATATCTGGTAGGTACGGATGAGTTGGACTGAAGAGTCTATACATCTCTATAACTCTATAACTCTATAACCAACAGTGACCCCATTCTTCCATAAGAGGAAACAATCTCTCTGCACCCCTGCCAAGATTTCTCAGGTTCTTCTAAGTTTCAATTAGGTCACCTCTTGATCTTCTAAACTCCAACAATTACAAGCCAAGCCTATCCAATATTTTCTCAAAACACAGTCTGCTCATTTTAGGTATAACACAGTGTGGAGCTGGATGAACACTGTAGGCCAGGCAGCATCAGAGGAGCAGGAAAGTTGACATTTCGGGTCAGGACCATTCTTCAGATTTTACTGTGTTATCTCTGACTCCAGCATCTGCAGTTCTTACTATCTTTGCTCAATTTAGGTGTTAGTCTGATAAACCTCCTTGAAACTGCTGTAATGCATTTACATCCTTCCTTAAATAAGGTGAGCAAGACTGCACACTGTATTCCAGATATAATATCAACAACGCCCCGCATAAATGAACCATAACCAGCCCACTTCTGTATTTGACTTCCCTCAACAAATGAGAAGGTATTATTAGCTTTTCTAATTACTTGCTGTACCTGCATGTTAGCCTTTTGCAATTGATACACTATGACACCCAGATCCCTCTGCTTCTGCTTGGCAGTAAATTGGGCATTTCATGCCAGTGTGCTACTCTCTACACCAGGACCTTTCATTTTCCACAATAATGTGTGATGTGGCATTTAAACGAATGCTTCCTGGAAATGTAGATACAGTATATCTATGAGTTCCTCTTTATCCACAGCTCATCTTACTTCCTCAAAAGGCTCCAATAGATTGGTTAAACATGATTTCTCTTTCTCAAAATCATGGCGACTCTGCCTGATTACCTTAATTTATCCAACTGCCCTGCTAGAGCTTTAATAGTAGTTACTAACATGTTCCTGATGACCGATTTTAAGCTAACTGGCCTCTAGATTCCCGCATTCCATCTCCCTCCCTTTCTGAATAAATGAGTTAAATTTGCTGTTTTCCAGTCTAATGAGATCTGCTTTGAAAACAGGGAGTTTTGGACAATGAAAACATCAACTATTTGATAGCCACTTTTTATTTTTTCTAGAATGTGGATGTTGCTGACCAGACCAGCATTATGTCATCAAGATGGCAGCGGAAGAGGGCACCTGCGCTGGAGATTGTCCACTATGAGCATTTTTATTTTCTTCATTCTTGTTGTTTTTCTTTACTGTACACTTATTCCCCTTTACAACCATCAGCAGCGATGAGGAATCCCAGCACGGATTTGAGTGAGCCCAGTGCGGACCTGGTGACAGTGAGGAATGGGCCCCTATTTACTTTCCAGGCCATGCACAGGACCTGGCATCAAAATTAGCAGCTGGTACATTGGAGGAGGCCCAGCAGTGAAATATGGTGCCTGAGGATCAATAACTTCATCATTGGTTTTGTCTAGTGCTGGCGGTGATGAAGCGCTAGCAGGAGGCCATCACATTGACATCAAGGTGGGTCTAATGGTGAGAAATGTGACGCTGATAGTGGGTCCAGCACAGGCAGTGCCGAGGCGGTGGTGTAGGAGAATTGGCCCAATGGCAAAAGATGGTGCCTGAAGAGCAGTGACTTCGATGTTGGTTGGGTCCAGTGTAGACGATGGTGAGGCAGTGGAGGAGGGATAGTAGTGCAGGCATGGTTGATGATAAGCTGGCTCAGAAGGGATGGACTTCCTTTAAGCTATATTTATTTTCTCTTATTCTTAAAACTATCCAAAATAACATCAGCTTGTGGTGCCACTAGCTTTTCACTGTATTGTACTGTGTTTCTCAATGTAAAACACACACGACAATAAAATCATTTATTCAGATCCAAATCATTCATGTATTTCCCATCCCTAAATATCCTGCAGAAGGCAGTGGTGGGCTGCCTTCCTAAACTGCTACAGTCCTTGGAATGTACAAACAACCACAGTATTGTTCAGACCCAGTGACCTTTTAAGACTCTAGGATGTTATATCATAATCAAGGCACTTACATTTTCAGTTGCTGATTTGTAGCTGCTTCCGGGATGTTACTTGTATCCTTTATAGTGAAGACTGATGCAAATTACCTGTACAATACATCTGCCATCCCTTTATTTTTCATTATCAGTTCTCCAGACTCACTTTCATAGGC